GCGCCGCAGCTGCGTTCAAACACGGGACACAGTGAATGTGGCTGACGTTTCGTTTAGCGGTGAGTTCTCGATCGGTTCGGCGACTGTGGTGGTTTTTCTCTTCTGTCCCGGCGCGGGAGTCGAACCCGGGCCGCCTGGGTGAGAGCCAGCCATCCTAACCGCTAGACCACGCGGGACTAACAATTTACCACAAATAAATCATTGACATACTTTTACTAAACAGACATACAAATGACGATCCGAAAACAATATGCAAAATACAATACACACAAAAATTTAACAATAAAACACGCATGCATCAGACTACACAAACACACACTCACGCACGCAACAAAAACAGCCAAGCAGAATCAATAGCTATCAATCACTCAAAATCAAACGAAATGGAAATGCAAAATACACTCACATCAACACTAGAAGCAGAACAAGCAGCACCAGCAACACCACCACGAAGAAACAACATTAACAACACCAAAACCAACGAAAATACCACAGCCAGCAACACCGACATCAAAACCAAAACCAAAACCAACAGCAACAGCAACAGTCGGTCAAACGTTTAGCCATCATCGTGTATGAATACGAAAACTCTGGCACATACGAATAGAACACTCGACCGAAAATGCTCATATATTCGCGCTTCAAACACCAAAAACACTGGCCCTTGAAGCAAACGATTCCACTGGCTAGAAATAACACCTAGCATTTGTCAGCATCAACATGGTCTTCCTTACCATTATCCTCATGTTCATTTGAGTCGCAATCTGTGTCCAAATGCAATTGGATGAACTGGAGGGAACGATGTGGATGGATAGAGCACGCGGAGGAAGCGAGAGGTAGAGTAGGCGAACGGACATGATTCTTCCGCGCCTTGTCAATGCATTGGAGAGAAATAATACAAGCTGAACAATGCATGAACGGACTTGAGTGATTGAATGAATGAATGATTGAGTGACTGAGTGATGGGTATGCGTCGATCGAAATGGTTGGTTAGTAAAGGACGACGAGTGGGAAAGAAGCGAACGAGGTCCGTCCGACGGTTTGCAACTAGGTGAAGCACAGGACAGGACACTGGGTCACATAGGTCTCGTTAGGCTTCGTGCATAGCGAGCGACCCCTACCTAGATCATGCTAACCGGTGCGTAGAGACACTGACTGGTATGGCTGCGTGTTGCAAACAGTCGCGCTCGTGCATCTAATCATGATTCTTGCAACCCCGGTCTAGATGGATCCTCTATCTTCTCCAATCTCCACATTCCAATCTTCACTCGCCTCTTTTATCCAATGCAGCAGCTGCGAAAACACAGACAGCAAGCGAAAACCGGTATATC